ATAAAGAGTGTGCAAAGTAACACATTTTTGCAACCAACAATTTTTGAAAACAACATTGTCAAATGTATCCACTTTGGAGAGCGTTTTCAAAAAGCTTCATTTTCATAGCTAAAAACGCTGTCTCAGTGTGGACGGAAGGCCAAAATGGACAGAAAAAGATGCGTTTTCAAACGAAATAAATGCTTTTCTTTGGACTTTTTCATGGTTTCCACAAAAATATTAAGCGGCACAACGGTTTTCAACATTGATAAGAACTATTTCTAGAGCAGCAAATCAGCATATTAGAATGATTTCTGAAGGATCATGTGACACTGAAGACTGGAGTAATTCAGCTTTGACATCACAGAAATAAATTCAATTTTAAAATATATTACAATAGACAACAGCTATTTTAAATAATATTTCATAATAACACTTTGTATTTTGATAAAAAAATAAATAAAAAAAATAGCCTTCTTTTTAAAAAAAATTACCAACCCCAAAATTTTGAACGGTACTAGTGTATTAATATACGAATATTAATATAAATAGGTGTATTTTCTATATTCCCTTGTCATTACCCATCAAACTATAATGTCTTTTGTTGGACAAACAAAAAATCATTTCTCATGGGTGGGTGAGCAATCTGAGGCACTACAATACAGCTGGAAATAAAGACACCCAGGAAGAGGCAGCTCTTTATTACACTAGAAGGGCCCAACTGGTCTATCAAACAAATGATACCATGTTAGAGAGCAGGATAAAACATCAGACCATAGAGGAATGGAGGGTTTCTGTCGATCAAAGATGTTCCTTGTCCAGCAGCTGTCGCAACCATGTCAAATAACCCAGCTAATCAACACTCCAACGCCTGAGTGCTTCTGGGTAAACAGATGGAGGCTTCAATGCTCTGCATCTAATCGACCATCACTGATAAAGCGGAGGCTGAATCCCCGGAATGACAAATACAAGAAACCCTCTAAATTATCCACAGATATGTTATACTGAATTTGTAAAGCAACTTTGGGTAAACAGAACTGATACGATAACATTCCCTTCCTTAAAAAGCAATAGTTAGGGTCTTGATCCTAAAAACAGAAGCAGCATTATTATGCGAAGTCCGGTGATTAATCAATCAATCCCAGCTCATTTTGTCAGTACACTGAAAAAAAAGGTAGAAAGACATTGCTAATAATTTTTACTAACAATTACAAAGAAACAGAAAGTAATACATTTAATCAAACGTGAAATTTTGATGTAGAAAAATGGTTTTATTTACAAATCTGAAAAATCGTAGTATAAAAACCTGACGGGATAAAGCCTCCCTCTTTAAAGTTATCACCATCTGTTGTGAAATAGAGGCTATGTTAATAATACTGTAGTAACAGACAGTACTACTACTACTTCTGCAGTGTACAGTATGCAAACTCAAAATTGTATGCAACTTTTCTGTTTAGAACACATGGATTACCAGCTTTCAATGGCAATATGTGAAGTATTATATGTGCTCAACATTGGATTTCTAGTGTAAGAGTGAAGAATATCTTTCTTCACACATGATTTGACCAGACTGCCAAACGTGCAGACATTTTCTGAAATGATAACTTGAATATACTCAACAAAATTAAATGTAGCATGTCAAGATCATGCAATTTTTTCCCTAATCGTATCCATATAGCCTATATTGTGCAGTATACAGTACACTAATAGTCTTTTTGAAAATAGCCAAACATCAGAAAAACAAATGTGGTGATAACCCATCCAAAAAATTCAGGCCTAAATCATCTCTGCAGCATCAAAACAAAATATAGTTCATTTTTATTACTGCAATAAACACGGATCCATCTTTAAAATTAAAATAAATTAGTAGCAGCAACAGACAGCTGAAACAGATGTCCTGCCTTAAAAAAGTCTTTGAGATCAGATCGCAGGTGGTGCTTGTCTTGCATGAGCAGGAGCACCATGGGGTTTTCTAAAATGAGACATCTCAAAGGGTCCATGCTGTTTGTTTCAACACATGGCACAGATATCTGCATCTACAAATCATCAGGAGCGGATAGAACTCCAGCCACTCAATATTTACATGTTGGCCGGTGTTAAAAACAAGAAAAATGTTCAAACTGATGTCCCTTTTTGGATGGCCCTAATACACTCTTTGTTTGCTCCAAACTTAATCAGTGATTAACAACAGCATCTGTTTCTAGCTGTACTGTTTAGCACCTAAATTTGTCAGATACATATTTAATGATATACTCACTCAGTAATCTAAGCAATACAAAATTAATCTTGCATTAAAATTATTATATTGGTGGGTTACTTGGTTGCTCAGACAGACAGATATAAAGACAGATAGATAGACAGTCAGACAGAAGGTGAGTAACGTCTCTGTAAAAATCGAACTGTACCGCTCTCCACCCACGGTTTGGCAAGCACTTGTACCGCGGTTCATCTTAAATCTGACGACGCATCTATAATATGGTTTATTGAAAATAACAATGCGTAAAACAGAGACAAAGTTCTGCTAATGCATGTTTCTGTTGATGGATACACATTCTGGGTTCCCCAATACATTACAACATTGATTATTAAAACTGATTGGACAAAACTGTCACTCTTTGTAAACTTTGTTCAATGTGAGTGCCGTATGGTCGAATATGACCAGGCATTTCTGCCATTGTCATCACCCGAGTGTTGATTACGCACGAGCGCAGGTGAGACCTGAACAGCACACGTTTCTATCCGTGTTTAAACTAAACTCATTTAATCCATCAATTTAAACATTTAAGAGCCAGAAGACGAGAACTCTTGTGCACTGTGAGAAGATTTGTGTGTGTGTGTGTGTGTGTCCTCTTTCAAGTCTTGTGATAAATTCACACAATAATTCTGTCAACATGCCCATCTTGGTGAATATCCTAGCAGACATAGTTGGTTAAGTCATAAGTGAATGAAACAGTCCAGACATGTGTACAGTATCAGTGCACTTGATCCGTGCATTATATCTTAAAGTGACAGCAAGCATATATTCCTACTGTCTGTGTTTTTAATGTTAATCAAACAACAAAAGACAAGGACTCCACTGCTCTAGATTGAAAATCTAATCTTTAATTTATAGAATCAAATATGCAGTGCTATTTTACATTTGATAACTTTATTCAATTTTTGTACCTGAAAACTAATTTTAGACCTACCTGAAAAACTTGAAAAGCACCCTTTATTTTATTTGTATCTTTGATCTACAGTATTTATTTGTGCTGTTGCTTGTAGTTAGATTATTTGTTCTTATTTTCTTTCATTTTTATTTGACAGTAGTCCTTTTCCCCCTAAACATAGCACATACCAAATCGTACCGAAACAGTGACCCTAAAACCGTGAGCAATTTGAACCGTTGCACCCTAACAGACAGACAGACAGACATATACCTGGACATTTCTTGGCAGTTTTGACGAGAATCACCCAGAAAGTGTAAGAGTGACACTGTGATCCCAGCGCTGGGACTGTGTGATTCAAATTGCTCATTTGGGATTCTACGACATTAAAGAGCCCTTGAACTGTGTCTTTGACACCCTGCAGCTCTAACCAAGAACAATTAATCACCCCTAAACATGTATTAGGCAAGAAAGAGTGGATTATTTGATGTCCTAGAGAAATCCGTTTCTTACCATCCCTAAAACAGTCCACACTAGTTCATGCTTTGAACTCAACACTGCTGCGACTGCAGCTGCCTGTAAATAGCAAATAAGATTTAATAAAACATGACTCGGTGGACATTGAACACAGAGTCCATTGCATCCTGCTCCCGACTCCTTGCTTTTCATCACTACATTTCATTCTTTCTGCCACCTTGGCTTTGAGAAACAAACAACAAACTTCTCTTACTTAGCTATGTCTAAAAGAAGAAAAAAGGAGAAAGAATAAACTTGCCTCTTTCCCTAATAACTCCCCCAACTAGTCTGCCCATCCTGTTTTGGAGCAGATCAAAGGTAATAATCCCCCATAATCCTCTGGTGTGCCCTTGCTGTTGTTATGGTCATTATAGGCTGCCGCATTGTTGCTAAGCTATCACGATTGTTCAGAGGAAAGCTACACTGGCTCAGTTTCACAGTGTAATGCCTATTTCACGGATGGACAGCCACTAGGATAATTAGATGGGGCCCGAGCGGACACAGCAACGATGTGCTTTACGGACAGAAAGCAAGGCCTCGTTTTTGCAAACTAAGGGGTCAGGGAGGGTACAAAAAACTCTTGTCAAGTAAGTATAACAACTTAGTGTGTTACATCGAAAGTTAGAGTGGCTGCAAAAACTTAAGGAACCAACTAAAATCACATGGAATCAACATGCACACTTTAGTTTATAGCACAACAGCCATGTAATAGTTACGGAACCATAGAAGGATTGTAAAACTGTGACATATGGAATAATGATAGCTGCTTTTGTCTTTGCCAGATTTGCTGTCAGAGGATCAGTTACTATTCATTGGCTGCATACAGAACAAAATCTTTGGATGGAGGAGATTGTGAATTTAAATGGCTTCTGCAGATTACCACTTGAGTTGAGACTGCATCCATGCATAGCCAAGGTAAAGATTTCACATTTTTAAATGTGCACCTTTTCCAAGTCCAAGCTTTGATCTGTAACAGTTTCTCTAAGGATATTGGGTTTGACATGCACATGAAGATACTTTCAATGAATCGCTTGGAGTCATACTGGATTGCGATGAAATCTCATTGCAATCAACTGTGTTAAACATGAAGTCCTTTTTGCTTTTAGCATGGACAGATAAAAGATATGTTGCTGAAAACTACACAACTGGTTAGGATGCGATGGCATAACATTAAGCTTGACATCTTTCCAGAAATATCCATGACAAGCAAATGCTTTACGCATTAAAACCTTGGAAGAGATAAGTTATTTAACCAACCAATCTACAAGACTGCCACTAAAAAAACCCCCATTGAGATCCATTCTTGATTCCTTGCTGTACAACCTGTTTTTCCCATACAGACAGTGAAAGTCAACTCACCATTAGAAGGAGGTAAAGGGCCTCACAGCAAACCGGTCACAGCTATAGGGGTTGAGTTGGAATCGTTCTCCTGTGGGCAGGAGCCCAAGTCCCATCTCCTTAAGATTTAAACCTCAGCAGCTCTGTATAAGAGGCAGAAAACAAAAGCAGCACATCAGAAGCATGATAACAAAAACAGTGGCCGTCATTTTCCAGACCCTACCGTGAGCCAAACAAACTAGCATCTTGCCTAAGAGCCTATGTATAGCCCCACAAATCCCACCGGCACCTTCAGCGGCATGTTGCTGGAGGCTCCTAGGGAGGGGGGTGTCTATGTGTAACCTTCATAGCGCTAAAGACATGGAACACTACACATGCAATTTAATTAACACACAACATGCGCATTTATATGTCTGCACACAGGGGAGCCTGCTTTCTGTCTAGAGACCAGAATAAAGAGTGAGTGTGGGGGGGGTTGAGGTGGAATATGAGAGTAGAACAGCTGCCAACTTTTTGACATAAAAACACCACAAAGCAAACTGAGCATCAATTATCTGTTGGGATAGTTAGCAGTGTTTGCCAAGTCAGGAAACACTATGAGTATTAAGGACATAGACTCAGTGAACAAATGTGCCTCAACCTTCAATTTTTCAAAACTCCAAAAAAATGTACCTATATCTACAATTCCCTACAGTTTCCAGCTGAAATGAACACTAGTGGCTGTAAAACACCAACTTGTAATCCTTTTCACACAAATGATGATTACAGGGGCAGATTGTTCAGTCTCCTGATCAAAAGACATGAAGAAGAAGTGGAAACAAGCGATAGCATATGTAAGCAGATGCATATGTAAAATAACGCGATCATCAACTTTAAACAGCATATTAAAACTGCCTAACGTTACTGAAATGTCGCCCCAGGACGAGGTATAGGACTGTGCATTGTGCAAGCATTAGGGGTGTTGATGGACGCGATCTACTCCATTTAGGTTCTGAATCCGATCCAGATGTAGTCTTTGACAAAAACACGATGCATTTAGCTAGAATAATACAGGTTTGTTTGTCTAAAAGCAGAGGCTCGGTTCTTACTTTTGATATGTTGCATGTTTAGATATTCATAGAACAAAATATTCTGGGGGCCATGACATTTTTGTGAAAATGATCCAAAATATTGGCAGTGGCTGGCAACTTTTTTTTTAAACGTTGGCGGGGATAGAGTTAATGAAGACGTTCGCAGTTACTCGCACAATACAATGTTATGGCCACAAAACACTTTTACCATTGTGCATGATTTGTAAATTAATACATCCTGAGGTTTGCATTCTGATGTAGTAAACTTGCTTTTTCACATGGTACAGCATTGCATTTGCGATGTAGAGCACTCGGGTTCAAGACCCGTGAAACAAGTCATGATGAAAGAGCTCAAAGTCTTGTAGAAAAAAAAAAAACTAAAATGGCATGGTTGCATCAGCAAATCCGTTTTGTTTTACATTTGCTTTTGTTAATAATAATTGTTATAATAGTATAACACTATATTAACCTTTTAACACCTCACCATTTAAATTTCCAAACTGCCATGATATGTATAACCAACCACATAATAAAACACTGCCAGGATCACATTCATTGGTTTTGAATAAAATCGAACAGACATTGGACATTTCACTATGAAGGTATGCAACGAACAAGCAACGTATTATAATTTTTGCAAAAATGTCACCACAGGCATGTTTTTCCAGTGACCCTGCATTTAGCACTCATATACTTAAGGTCTGAATCCCCCTTTTCACAATGCTGTTACAATGCTGTACCAGTAAGTAAAGCAACCACCCAAAAACCCTAGCAAGCACCCAGAACACTTTGACAATCATATAGCAATGCCCTGACAACACCCTAGCATTGTGTTAGCAACTAGCAAACACCACTTACATATTCTTCAGAAAATATATCTAGTTTTTAAATGTTATAAGACTTTTTGATGTTTGAATGCTTATAATGCATAAACATAATATAAATAACCCTTTGTTATTTTTTTATTCCCACTATGAAGTGTAAATACTCTGTCTCTGAGGCGCTATCAAAACATTGCTGTTTGTTTAAGCTTCACATCCAGCTCGACAACAGCAACATTGGCTGAACCAATGGAATGAGGCTAGGGTGGGGCTAACTGGTTTGACTGACCAATGGAAGGTGGAAGAGTGTTCATGAATCATGTGTGCAAACAATCCTGTTTGTAACTGCTGTGGTGGTAGTAGTGGTGCAGAAATTATATAGTTCTTCAACTTTAGGTAATTCTGCTGCTTTTCTCAATTTCATTTTTTTTTCTTTTTCTGCATCTTCCAGACGGCTGTCGGAGGTTCTGGTGCGCTGTGGGCAAACAAACTTCTCGTCTTTCCGTGCTGATATACGGCTCTGTTGTGTGTATTGTGTGGGTGATACCTGAACCCCTTACAGCATGGAGAAGGGACACGGATACTGCAAACCATAGCCAAAACATGAGGCCCGACAGATGAGACGCACCTTTCATTACCTGCAGACCATGTGTGTGGGTGACATCTGCCAATGTCATCAGCACCTTTGCTGAGGAGACAAAGAACAGTTGCTTTTCAAAATAAAGGGATCTGCAGTTTATATGAAAGATACGATCATCAAGATGTATACATAAAGAGGGTGTGAATTTTTTGTGGGTAAACAATGTATAGTATAGGCAGATGCTGTCTGAACATTTAGAAAGTGAGACAAAACAAAGAAATCATGTTTTTTTCAGTAATGACAATGTTTTTTTTGTTTTGTTTTTTAGTCCACATTTTCATTATGCAGCAACTTGCCTTTTTAAAAAAGGCTTCAAAATTCATTTGAGAAATGACTATGTACTTTATGTTGTAGCACAAAATGTAGTGTCTTTTCAAGCAATGAGCCCTTAACTTACTCAGAACCACCATTCTAAAAACCCCTAGGGAATGCATGGTGAATTAGCCTTCTGGGTTAGCCTACAAATTAACATCATGACTGAACTCAGCTCTGTTTGGTTACATTGGTGTTTCAGAAATTACACACTTCACCTTTTATTATCTCTTATTCTTTAAATGTTTAATGTTTTTATCTATAGTTTTAAATTGCTCTTTCACATTTCATATAATTTTAGAACACTTTTTTGTTTAACGGTGCCTGCCCACTTTTTCAGCTGCCTTGGTAACAAGTATTTTTGTTTATTGCAAAATGTGCAAAAATGATTTAAAGCTGCAGTCCGCAGTTTTTCCTCTGTCGCCATCTCCGTTTGAAATCTGCAATTGCAGTCATTCGCGGAATTATCAACTTTACGTGAGTTGTACCTCGGCACGGCACAACGCGGATGAATCCAATGTTTTGAGGAGAGTGTGCGGCTGTCAGTCACTGTGCCGGTGTGGATACTGCCATTCAGAATCACAGATTATTCTTTTTGGAAGTATGACCAACATAAGATTGTTCACCCTAAAATGTCATCTGAACAAGTAAGTAACATCCACTTTTGTTCTTCTGACCAACTAACTGAAAAAAAGCATTGCAGTAAACCGCTCTGATTAAATCTAACGATCGTTTATCATATCACGTCAAACCGTGCAAATTATACTTTGTTCTCAAATTGTTAATGTTAACAACATCAGCATTGCGTGACTACATTTAAAGCCCTTCAGATATTTATCCTTGTTTTCGCATGGGCCCGGTTGCAGTCTCTTTTTTCAAACTCTCAGTCCAAAGTCTTTTGCGTTTTACAACGGGTGAGTCTCCAGTTGTCACTGGTGATTGCCGTTTGAACCTTTCTGGATCCGCCATCAAATTAATAAGTTTAATTATATCAAGTGCTGTGATAAAAGGCTATAAATCTCCACCTCCAGCATCCTCACATGCAATATAGCTTATAATAGCCGAGACTCCTCCATAATGTGTACAGATGTGACGTAATGACTCAAAGACATGCTCGAATTTCCCGTGGAAATCCACCAGTACCACTGGAATTAAAAACATTATTACAAGCTTACCGTTTTGAATCGAGCTAAGGCAAGCAGATAGTTTTGAACACTGGCTGGTTATGTATTTTCTCAAATTTATTTTGGATAATTTTTAACCCAAAAAATTTACGGACTGGAGCTTTAAGTAGTTTGAGAGCAAAGGGAGACTGACTTGCTTACATCATTCATAGTTCTTCATGGCAGTGAGCAGACTAAGGGCTCGTTCACACAGAACGCATTTTTGCTTTGAAAAACGGTCTAGTGATGATTTTAACTTGAACGCTGCGTTTTTAGAATGCAAAAACGCAGCGTTCAAAAGATGCAAAAGATGGAAGACGCAAGCGCAATGGTTATACATGTCCGTCTTGCACGTATTTACATAGAAAAACAATGGAACATTAGCACATTGGAATGGAAAAACTAGTTCTGTGTGAACTGCCACTTAAGAGTTCTTTTGGAGCGATTTGTTTGTTTCGATTCTCTGATTGCTGGACATTTCTTTCCAGAATCATGGGTAATCTAGTTTTTCACCAACAATTCCATTGTTATGTCCAGGGGTCATGAATTGAGAAATCAAATTTTCCTTGATCTTTTGACAAACAAGAGGCCATTGTACTATAAAAAAAATATCCTGTAGGTTTCAGAACTCAAAACTTTCTTATTAGTACAAAAAAAGCTTTTATTGAAACCAAGCTGCCAAAATGACTTGTTCCAGATTTTGTCTCAGTATGAACTCATAGTGCGAAGTGAGATCGCCTCCACAGAAGATCAGCGCCTACATCTGAATCATTGCCTCTTTAACCCCATCCACCTATTTGCACATATAGTAGGAAGTGAGTAGAGCAATGCAAACACAGGATCACTTGACAACAAAACAAATGTATAGATGCCTCTGAGGATTACAAGATGTTTTCCAGTGCCAAGTTGTCTTTAGTCTTTGATTTGCCACAGTATTTGCATTGGCTTCCTTATGATCCTAACATTAAGAAAGCGTAGATGAACTTTTATTTTTAACAAAGTTCCAGATCTCGTCAGTAAAACACTGCTCGTTTGTTCGCTTCATTTTACTGCGGATTCGTTTTTAAACAAGACGCCGCTCGATGCAGGCTTTTCAGAGATACTGATAAACAAAAGATGATGCGGTGACGACTAAAC